AGAAACAGAGTCGTTACTGTCTGCGACTCTAAGCTAAAATACCCTCCGAGCCAGGGCGCACTCACCACCGTAACCCTTGCGGGAGCCACCCTTCCCAAACGTCTCACCGGCGTCGCAACAAGCGGCTACCACCATGAGAGACGAATGGTCGAAGTGACCCCACACGAAGGGCCAGGCCCAAGTCCCCTCTGACACAGGGTCTTCCCCCACCTAGGCCCCGTAGGCCGCCCCAACTTCCCCATCCTTCCCCTCCCTCCTTCCATCACCCTGAGTCGTAGTGACCGCAGGAGCGGCAGCGGTGGGCAGTTTGCCTACAGCAGCCACCAACTCCCCCACGAGAGCAGGAATGTTCTCCTGTTCCGTCCGGAGACGGGTCAGTGACGACCAAATTTGCTGCCCAGAGTCAGCATCGAAACCACACCGAGTCACAAGGGGAAGGGGGTCTACTCACGGCCAGCCCCAACTCGAGGGCAGCCCGAGTGGCGCGTGCCTCCTCGTAGAGGTCACGCTCCGCCTCGGAGCGGAACTTTGGCACGCTCTGGGCAGCTAACACCTAGCCCTACTAGTCTTTGACTTATAGGTCACATTACTAGAGCCTAGCCCCACTAGCCCTATAACCATGACATCACATTACTGTAGCTATAACATTATAATAGGAGTTATTGCTACTATAAAGGTAGTCACAAGCTTAGAAGCAAAGAGTCGTCTAAAGACTATATAGCTAGGAAATAGGGAATAGGTGTCAATCATCTAAGGTGTTAATTCATATGGGTAGGCGCTCCTACTGTTCATTATTTTCAAGGTGTAGAATCACCTCTCTGCTATGTATAAGGACTTAGGATTACTAGATGATTAGGTGATTACACTAAGTAAGAACAGGGGTGGACTTCAAATTCAATTAGGTATGAGTGGATTTAACACTTTGATTAGCATACAAACAGTCGTATGATTAGAACCTATTGCCTTCTTATTCTTAATAGGCATAAGAGCCACCTCTCTGCTTAGTTTTAACACTACTATATAGAACGGAAGATAATCACCCTCTATATATACTTCAGCCACTTAATGTTAGCTGCTTTGCCCTATTAAAGCTTTCATATAGACGTTAGATTAAAACCTTCATATAGAATAGGCTAAATTATATTATGAAGCTTGAGTTTCACTCTACATTTAAAGAAGCATTCAGAGCTATGTTTATAGAATGGAACATTAAGAGTGGGTTGTAAGCAACAGGACTAGTTCTACATAAGCTGTAGAATGTCCTCTCTTACTTAAATCTACACCTAAGAACTCTAACTCCTCCTATAGTTAAGAGTAACAATTAGACTTCAAAGACTCCTTCAACTATACAGGAGCTTAACTTTTAAACAAAGCACATTAAGAACTGCATCATATATTAGAACAGCTCTCCTACCTTAATTAATGATGCTGTTAGCTGCCTTGTTAAGGGAGCATAAGTTATGATGCATTCTGCTATTCTACTTAAGGCAGAAGTTAAGGCTCTACAAGCAGCAAATGAATAGAAAAGAGGAGGGAAAGGAAGTGCAGGAGACGTCTCTATACTAGACGTAGAGGATAGAGTGCTAAGGTTGATGCTTAAGTCCATACAGAGGTGGCAAGTGAGACTACTTAGCAGGTGGGTTCTATAGGCTGACAACGGCGCTATGGACTATGTAGCACTATACCGTATGTGCGAGAGGCGCTAGAAATAAATTACAATTGATTAAGGGTCATTATGTAAGGTGGTGGTATAGTAGTACAGTTCTCACGCGATAAGTCGATACTTGATTAGGCGATATTCACGCTAACTCGATATTTTTTGTAGGATTCTTTATTTTCCTACCAAAACTACAATACACTCGATATCGAACTTATTTGACTAGATATCATCTTATACTAACATTACATAGGCCAAGATGCCTCGAAATCAGCTGTTTACAATGACGATTAAGTAGCGTCGCGCACTCCAAAACTGGTATGCTCACTAGTCACCAAAGCCTTCGCAAAAAGCCTCTATCAACTGGTTCTTTAGAACCTTCGGCCATCGTATTCGACAGTCAACAGTCTCCAAATCTTTAAGCTTGTTACGATTATAGCTTACAGCTGGTTACAGTTGTTACAGGTGTAGTCTTAGCCACTAAGGCTACAACCGCTAAGCAGACAACTGTATATTATGAGGAATAGCCTCACCTTCTTCTTTTTCTTCTTCTCTCTTTAGATTCAATCTAGCTTATTATTCTCTAGACTAGCTTCTTGACCTCCGTGACCATCGTAACATAAGATTGAATCTTACCTTTCTTTTGCTCTCTAAGCCTGAACCTTGATACTGAAATTCAAATTCCCTTCTTTAGAAACTCTACAACTATATCCTAAAGTCAATTCCAGAACACACTAGAACACCATAGACTTTATAGATCAGACCTTTCATAACGCTCCCTCGACAAGGAATATAGCTGTGAGGGAAGTGCGCTCCTCTTGAGTGGCTCCTATAGTCAACAAACTACGTAATAGGGCCTTTGGAGATACGAGTCTGATCTACTGAATATGAAAACTAAAAGAATAGCAAAGCTGCTATGGCACACATGGCTAAAGAAAAAGTCCAGATGGCTGACCAAAACCCAGAAGACTATGAGTCTATAAATGAGAAAACAACCTTAGTAGATGAGTCTAAGAAGAGAGATGAAGTTCAAGATGACTTCCTCGAAGCCCAAGAAGATTTCAAGAGGATGGGCAAAACAGCTTAAGAAAGACAGTAGTCTATACTATCAAATGGCCACTAGATGAGGGCTTGGAATGTTAACACATACACTGAATTCCAAAAGCTGTCACCTAGCAGCTAAGAGTATGCCTAGTCAATGTTGAAAGCCATTATTAAGGACTATCTCATTGTCAATCAAGCTTCTAATGCTACTATTACAGAGCGAAATGATGCTATTCTACAGCTCTGAGAAGAAATTCAAGACAAGGATGAAAAGATTACTGAACTGCAAGACATTCAAAAATACCTTAAGAATACAGCTCCTATTCGCAATGCAGCACCTTGCTAGTCTGCTCGCATTCCGGATCCTCCTGTCCTTACAGATGGGATTGAACTAGCTTTTGAAGACTAGGTTGTGAAGATCCAACTTAAGCTAGAAGCCAACATCAACCACTTCCCAGAACCAAGTTTTGCCAATATGATTAGAGGATGGGCAGCGCAGAAAGAGCTGGACTTCTTTAAAGTCATTGATCTAGCGATTGATATGGTTGGCCCAGGGTATGAAGACAAGAAACCTGCACAGGAAGATGTAGCAGAAAATGACAAGAGCACTGTCATACTGACATTCGTTGCACTCAGTTTGCTCTCAAACTCAAGAGCAACCTTAGAAATCTCCTCCTCAAACCTACAAGTCACCATACATATCTTGGCTTATCATACCAACAACAAGAGCAATACTACTCAACGATTGCTGCCAACTCTTATACTACATCTGTTTATGCTACATCCATCACGGCATATCATTTGGACACTCATTGAACAAGTTATTAAGAAAATCTCCTCCTTAAGGGGGTGGGCCAATACTACCACATGGCATATCTCTACCAACTAGAGGCCTAGGAACATGAACGATAGCTCTAGAAGCTTCTACAACCCTCTATGATTCATTACACATCATCGCTCCTTAGTTACCCACAAGATTGGTTAAGTTATGACATAACTTGTCTATAGGTACTCTGACCTTGGACCTCCTTTTCACTTCCTATAGGCTAGAAACCCAAGAGATGGTTCTATGGGATTCTCTTACGTTCGCTACATGATAGCAAGCTAGTTGTGGGTCGCACTTGATTTCTAATACATTTACCAAGCCCGGTTAGTCATGTAAAGTCATGGAAAATAAAAGTTATTGTTACGACGGAACAAGAAGGCTGGCCAACTACAGGACAGGAAGGAGGGAGGTCGCATGAGACCGGCCCTGGTACCTGGAGGGGCAGCGGGGAATAGTAGTTCCGAAAGTATCACGTGACGGACTCGCAGGATGATGAGAAGAGTCCTAAGAGTCCAGGACTCCGAGGACTCGAGTGAGTTCCCAGGAGTCCACTAGGCACGTGATGGACTCGCAGGATGATGAGAAGAGTCCTAAGAGTCCAGGACTCCGAGGACTCAAGTGAGTTCCCAAGAGTCCACTAGGCACGACGCCACTATATAAGTAGATAGTATTTCCTTAGATAGGAGCTTCGTGCTCAACTCAATACAGTATTTGTTATATACTAGTAACGTGTTACTTGAAGCCTTTGTGTCTGATCCCCTGCCTCCTCTGATAAGTAAACCTTTACGCAAGAGAACCTCTGTGTCTTCTATCGTTTAGAAGTCAGCGTTACAGTTATCCCCAAAGCAGACTAGGAGGACTCTGTTACGACGGAACAAGAAGGCTGGCCAACTACAGGACAGGAAGGAGGGAGGTCGCATGAGACCGGCCCTGGTACCTGGAGGGGCAGCGGGGAATAGTAGTTCCGAAAGTATCACGTGACGGACTCGCAGGATGATGAGAAGAATCCTAAGAGTCCAGGACTCCGAGGACTCGAGTGAGTTCCCAGGAGTCCACTAGGCACATGACGGACTCGCAGGATGATGAGAAGAATCCTAAGAGTCCAGGACTCCGAGGACTCGAGTGAGTTCCCAGGAGTCCACTAGGCACATGACGGACTCGCAGGATGATGAGAAGAATCCTAAGAGTCCAGGACTCCGAGGACTCGAGTGGGTTCGCAGGAGTCCACTAGGCACGACGCCACTATATAAGTAGATAGTTAGTTCTTAGATAGGAGCTTCGTGCTCAACTCAATACAGTATTTGTTATATACTAGTAACGTGTTACTTGAAGCCTTTGTGTCTGATCCCCTGCCTCCTCTGATAAGTAAACCTTTACACAAGAGAACCTCTGTGTCTTCTATCGTTTAGAAGTCAGCGTTACAGACTCGCAGTTCGCCATGTGAACCCAAGGCTTCGCATTACCTCACCAAACATGCTTCAGTCAGCAGAAGAAATACTCCAATTCCTCGAGAAAGTGTTTAGCGACCCCAATAGGAGACACACTGCACAAACTGAGTACTGCAAGCTATACCAGGGCAAGAATACCTTTGCAACATTCTGGGCTGAATTTCAGAGACTCACAGCAGAGCTGGATTACTCAGAGGAGACTGTAAGGATGCCTCCTTACTCGGGGTAGTTACGGCCGTCACGTGGCGTCATCGAGACTCGGGGCCGTTACGGGTCAGTCGCGACTGACAGCCTTAGGCACATAACGTAAGGAAGCCTTAGGCAAACAGGGAGCTAGCTGAGTCGGAGCGGTTTCGGGTATTTTAAGGGAACAGTCATACAGGGTTACACCTTCATCTTTTTTGTATCCTTCGTAGTAGACCTATAGGATTGCACCGACTCATATCCGACTCGCACTCCCATATGCCACTTCTCGTGATACGGTGCCCTGCGTCCTTACATTATACAAAAAAGATCACGCCTGCCGGGGACGGCCGTACTCAAAGAATATCCCACACTGGAACGACTCAGGAGAACTACCGTTACACCACCGACCGCGACTCGGAAACTGCGACGGAGCTGAGACCTGACGACTTCAAATAGCTGTGACCCCAGAGAACTCACGGACGACCAGTGGATCAGGGTTTGATCCTGCAGAGCAAGCTGGTAAAGTCGTCGACGCGTTGGCGCCGAATAGGATACGAGATCCTTAAGAACCCCCTCAAGCACAGAGGTAATTGTGAACAAGAGTGTTGATAGCTACGAGCTACCGGAAGTCAAACTCTTTCGTATCGACACCGATACACCCCCGAACCAACATGAGGAAAATGACCTCAAACATTCCCCAAGACAATGATTGTCAACCGTCACGAATGTCAACGAGACAAACCACTGCTGCAGCTGGGACTGCTGCACCCACCGAAGACATACCGGATCGAATGGCAAACCTCGAGATCCAGATGCAGGAGATCAAGGAAATGATAGCCAACCTAGCGGCAACCCAGACCAGGATCCCGTCCACGCCACCGGTGGACACCGTCGAAGTTGAGAAGCGACGAACTTCCCCTATGCGAAACACCCCCGAGACAGTTCAGTTGCCGCCTCTTCGAAACACTCGTTCTCCATCGATTCCGAGGATGTATTCCGAAGACCCTCCGAATCGCTACAAGAAATCCACCATCTCTGAGAAGATTACGCCGCTCAGCGATGGGATAGAACATACCTTTATGCAATGGAGCGCGTCCATTCGGGACCGCCTCGTAGTCAATGAGGATCACTACCCTACCGACGTCTCGAGAAGAGCGTTGATATGGGGGACTACGACTGGCCTGGCAAAGAAATACCTCGAACCCCAATACCTATCCGCGACACACGGGTTTCGGAGTGCCGACGAGATGATGGACCTGTTGGGTTCATATTACCTCACTGGCAACGAAACGGAACAGGCCCGGAACCTCTTCGACGACCTCCAAATGGGAGAGAAAGGACATACAAACGAGACTTTCTCAGAGTTCAAAGCTCGCTTCCAAAGTGCAGCTATTACAGGACAGGTCACCGAGTCAGAATGGTTTCGGTACATGTGGAACAAGTTGACCCCTCAATTCCGTAGCCGCGTGGCGGTTATCAAAAGTCAATGGAAGGGAGACTACCACACCATGGTCCGAGAACTCACCGCCTTCGATCAGGAGCGGCGCCGGAACAACGAGTTGAGCTTCCCGTCCAAGAGCGGCGAGTCGAGCTCCCGAGGACCCGCCCGCCTGAGCTCATCCAGGTTCACGCCCGTGGACCCCGGAAAGGCCCAGCCACCGAGGCAGACAAGAAGCCCTCTGGTTTCCTTCCAGAGGACTCCTTTCACAGCCACCGCCCCCAAGCCGGACATTACAGGCCGCGTGCGGACCGCCGTGCCGGCTACGTCCGGAAACTGTTTCAAGTGCGGCAAGCCGGGCCATTTCCAAGACAAATGCCCGCTCAACCCCACCGTCAAGGAGATTGACCGCGAAGCCCCTGAGGACGAAGATAATTGGGAGGAAGCAGTCGCCCACCAGTCGGATGCGTCCCTGGAGGAAAACGACGAGGCCTAGGGAAAGGCTCCTTCCTAGGTCTACGCAAATGTGATCTGCAAGGACTGGATTTACGAGAGCTCTTGGGAGGCTCCCAATTTCTCGTTGATACAACCCTGAGTATGAACGGACTCGGGGTGCAAACGAAGTCACTCGCAGACACAGGAGCAAATGGCTACCTCGTCATTAATAAGCCTTTCGCGCAACGGTTGTCGAAAGCGCTTCAGAGCCCTATACGGAAACTGCCCTACTCTGTACCCATACGTGGATTTCAGCGAAATATCCAAAGCTACGTATCGGAGTATATTCGGTTACACTTGACAGTCGAAGGACGCCGAATATATAACTGCCCCTTTGTGCTCCTAAATCTCGGAGCGCAAGATGTGATAATTGGGAAGAAGCTTTTTAGCCGCTTCCGAATCCTACTCGACTCTGCAAAGAGCCGGCTAGTATGGCCAAAGGAGTACCCGCCTACTCCTAGCTGGAGCAAAGAGATCACCTTGCCCTACCACTCGCGTGAACTGTCTATACGTCACCCCGCCCATCAATCGGATGCGAACCGGCGGGACGATGCCATCGACCATGACGACAGACGACGTGAGGGCGGACGCTCGATACCAATGAAAGTGATAACGGCCCATCGTGACGCTATTATGATCACCCCACCGAGCTCGGTGCGAGACACTGGAACGACCCACCCGCACCCCAAAACCCCAAGGACACGAGCCTCGCCCGTGGAAACCTATAAAGACAGACCCTTAGGGCAAGTGGAGGCGAAACCTCCAAGAAACGGACCATCCGCATATGAGAGAAAGAATCATGGGAGGAGCGGAGTCTTCTCTCTTTCCCGACGCCAGACCCTGGTACGCAGCTTCACGCCGGTCCAAATTTGCGAGATTGGCGCAAACGCTTTCCACTATGAGATGATACGAAGCGACTCCGAGTTCTTTACGACAAGCATCTACGAGATCGACCAGATCATCCGAGAGAGGGAAGCGGCCGAGGACGAGGAAACGCTCTGCCTCATTCGGGACAAGCTTCCGCATATGCACCGCAACTATTCCGATGTCTTCTCGAAGTCGGAATCTGATCAGCTTCCCCCGCATCGCATATACGATCACAAGATACAACTAGAAGCCCCTTTACCAAATGCCTTTTCGCCACTATACCGACAAAGCACCGAAGAGCTTAAGGCGACTAAGCAATACCTATTAGAGAACCTCGAGAAGGGCTTTATAGTCAATAGCAATAGCCCGTTTGCCTCCCCTATACTGTTCGTGAAGAAGGCAGATGGCAAACTGAGATTTTGTATCGACTACCGGAAGTTGAACGGACTTACCCGTAATGACCCCTACCCTATCCCGCGTATCGACGAACTACTAGGACGGGTGTCGAAAGCAAAAATCTTCACGAAGCTAGACATTAGGCAAGCCTTCCATCGTATACGAATGGACCCCGACTCCGAGGAGTACACGACCTTCCGGACTCGGTATGGATCCTACAAATGCAAAGTGCTGCCGTTTGGCCTAACGAACGGCCCCGCAACCTATCAGAGGTATATGAACGACGTTCTTATGCAATACTTGGACGACTTCTGTACTGCCTACCTAGACGACATCCTAATCTACTCCGAGGACCCCGCGGAACACATGGACCACGTACATAAGGTCCTCCAACGGCTTCGAGAAGCAGGACTACAAGCCGACATTAAGAAATGCGAGTTCAACGTAACCCGGACAAAGTATTTAGGCTATATCCTGACTACTACCGGTGTCGAAGCGGATCCCGAGAAGATCGAACCCCTCCGGAATTGGATCCGGCCAACAACTGTCACAGGCGTGAAGTCTTACCTTGGATTCTGCGGCTTCTACCGCCAATTTATCAGAAATTTCGGGAAAATAGCCAAGCCTCTCACCACTATCACCAGCCCCTCAGAACCGTTCCTGTGGACTGACGAATGTGAGAACGCTTTTGAAGAAATGCGCCGACAGCTTTTAGCCGTGCAGGCGCTCCACCACTTCAACCCCGAATTGCCTACGAAGCTGGAAACAGACTCTTCTGATGGAGTCGTAGCCGGTGTCCTTTCTCAGGAACACCCCGACAAGCGATGGTATCCTGTAAGCTTCTACAGTCACGTCCTATCTGGGCATGAGATCAATTGGGAGATCCACGACAAGGAACTGTTCGCCATCGTCAAAGCGTTCGCAAAATGGAGGCCAGAATTAGCATCGGTACGCCACCGAATCGACGTCTATACAGATCACCGATCGCTGGAATACTTCATGTCGACGAAGGTTCTCACGGCGAAGCAGGTTCGGTGGATGGAGCTACTCTCCGACTTCAATTTCTCTATTGCGTATACTGCTGGCAAGAACAATCAGAAGGCAGATATACTGAGCCGAAGAGAGCAAGACCTGATTACGCAACAGAAGGTCAAACTCGACAGCCGTGCGAGGGTGCTGTTAGGCCCAGCCCGACTACACTCCCGAATCAGTGCCGAATTAGCACAAACGTACGTGGCCTCGATCAATGCGATGGACGCCCCGAACACCCAGGTCCCCTTTGACCTGATAGAAGCGCTCTGCGCGGATAATAGGAGGTCGTTCACCGACACTCGCGCGAAAGACCCCCTACCTAACGGGTTTACAATGAAGGACCAACTCTTGCTATACAAAGGTCGACTGTGCGTAAACCGGCACACCGAGTTATGTACGAAACTCATACGGGAAGCACACGATCAAGTATCAGTAGCCCACCCTAGTGGCAGGAAAACTTATCAGTTACTCGCCCCGAAGTATCATTGGGTCGGAATGGAAGCGGATTGCCTCCGATATGTGCGCAACTGCGTGACGTGCCGACTTTCTCACACTAGCGTGACGAAGCAGCAAGGCTTCTTACACCCCCTACCGGTACCCGAATACCCCATGCAACACCTAACGATGGACTTTAAGGAATTCCCAAAGGATAAACACGGATTCGACAGCATCCTTGTGTTCATGGACCGACTCGGTAAGGGTTCAGTGTCCATACCATGTCATAAGACCACCGATGCCCGCCAAATGGCGCAGCTATTCATCGAATGGATATATCGATTCGGACACACCCCGGAGTCGATCATTAGTGATCGCGGACCCCAATTCATATCAGCTTTCTGGCGAGAGTTCTGCCGAATCATAGGGGTCAAGATTAAGCTGTCGACAGCCTATCACAAGCAGACCGACGGGCAGACGGAAATCATGAATCGGTATATCGATCAGAGACTGAGGCCCTTCGTATCACATTACCAGGATAACTGGAGCGAGCTCATTCCCATCATGGATCGGGTGCAAATGACCCTTCCCCATGCCTCGATCGGAATGACCCCCTACCGACTCAAGTACGGAACTGATCCGCGCACCAGTTGGGACTGGGAAACCCCGAAAGCCACGACCCCTAGGGAAGTCATGAACCAGAAGGAAGCCAAAGCAGTAGCAAACCGCATGCACTCCGCATGGATTTACGCAAAGGAGAACATGGCCAAAGCACAAGAGGATATGTCTAAAT